TATGCATGGAGATTTCCTTCTTGGAAACAATTTTATATATAAATACATTCCAATGCAAATATAGGAAAAAGCCATTTCATTAAGCATAAACAATGTCTTAATTCATATTCCATTGTTAGAACAACATAAATATATTTGTGATAAAGAGTTTGTGCCTGTTCCGCGTGGTGATTTAACTCCTATCATCAAAACTATCGATGAATCATATTGGATTTACAAAATTTTGAAAGAAAATTTTAATGAAAATCCATTAAAACTGTGGCAACGTAGTCCGCGTTATTGTAATTTAAAATTAAAAGACTCTAATGTTATCATTAGAGTAAGACCAATGATCTATACTAGACAAAATATAGATAAATTTGATATTCAACTTCAGGAACTTTTAGACAAAAAGTTAATTTAAGAAACTAGAAGCCCTCACTCTAGTCCAACTTTTATGGTAAGAAACAATGCTGAAATTAATAGAGGAAATGCCTGAATGGTAGTCAACTATAAACGATTAAATGAAAATTTAGAATTTGATGGATATTTTATTTTAAGAAAAGATGTTTTGATTAACTTAACCAAAGGATAAAAAATCTTTAACAAATTCGATTGTAAAAGTGGATTTTGGCAAATTCAATTGACTGAAGAATCAAAAAAATTTGACAGCTTTTAGTACACTTAGAGGACATTACTACTAGAATGTTATGCCTTTGGGGTTAAATATAGCACCACATATATTTCAACGGTGGATGGATACAATTTTTAAAGATCTTAAATATTATTGTGTAGTTTATATTGATGATATACTTATCTTCTCTAAAACCCGGGAGGAGCATAAGCAACATTTAAAATTACTTTGTAAAAAATTCCAAAACACATGGAATTATGTTATCATTAGAAAAGATTGAACTAGAAAGAGAATCAATTTAATTTTTAGGAATAATTTTAGACCAAAAAGGTTTAAAATTACAAGAACATATTTTGTCCAAAGTACGAGATTTTCCTGATACTCTTGAAAATATAACACAATTACAAAGTTTATTAGGTATTCTAAATTATGGACGAAATTTTATCAAAAATCTTTCAAAAATAGAAATTCCTTAGTTAACCAAATTAAGGAAAAATGTTATTTTTGAATGGACAGCATAAGATGTTGCTTTAATTAAACAAGTTAAAGAAAATGTTAAAACTTTACCAGATGTTTATCTTCCTAAAACAGGTGATAAATTAATTTTAGAAACAGATACCTCAGAAGCATGCTGGGGATATGTTGTTAAAGTAATACCAAGTAACTTATGTTATGATAAAGAGATACCTTTATCAAAAAATGGGATTAGACCAACAAAAAAATCCAATACCCATAAAATTACAAAAAGAAGAACTAATTTGTGGATATAATTCTGGAATATTTAAACTAAATGAACATAAATATATTATTTTTGAAAAAGAATTACTTGCAATACAATTGTCAATAAAAAGTTTCCATATTTATTTAGTCCTAGAAAATTTTATTGTACGCACTGATAATAAAGCAATAAGAGATTTCTTAATCAATAAAAAACCTATTGAACAAGGAAGACGATTAGCCTGGTCTAATAAAATTTGTGAATATACTTTTGAGGTAGAACACCTTAAAGATTTTAACAATTTTCTAACAATTGTGAATATACTAACAGTTTTCTTGCAGATTTCTTAGTAGGAATTGTTTTAGAAAATTAAATTACTAAACAAGTAATTTTAATTTTTGCAGAAGACTTCTAGACCAAGAGGAAAAAATGGACAAGGGTAAACAACCCGCTCAAGGAGATTGGGTGACAATTACTAAAACAATAATTCCCAGACAAGAAAAAGTTTATGTTGTGTTTGCAGGAAGACAACCTGGAATTTACACAGAATGGAATAAGTGCAATAAGCAAGTTTGTAGATTTCCAGGAGCAAGTTTTAAATCATATGATAGCATGACCAAAGCCAAAAAAGTTTTTTACAGTGCACTGGCTATGCCTGTTTATCAAAATAATTTTTGTCAAATAAGACCTAACCCAGTTCCAACCCATATTCAGACATCTAAACCAGATGAATCTGAAATAAAAGATTTTTTCAACCTTGGTATATCCAGAGAAATTTATACAGAACTCAATGGAGTTTGAAAAGCTCACATTTTAGACAACAAAGTGAAATTTCGAAAACATATGGGAGTTCTGACCAACAAATTAGCTGAGCAAATAGCTAAATTAAGAGATTTGCAAAATCTTTGTTTCAATATCCTTAAACAAATGAATTGGAATGAAGATTTTAATTTCGAAAAAATAAATAATTTTCTTCAGCTATCAGACCTCATATTAGATAAGTTTTCTCACCCAGTTTTTGAACAAATAAAATGAATTTGTCTTTTTGAAAAAGCAATAACTTTGCTTTCAAAAGAAATTTTTCTGTTAATCAAAAATTGAGTTGAGGATTATCATGATAAGATTAGACAAATCTTAAAATGATCTTTTGATAAATTAAATTTTAAATAGGGAATTCCCATAATAACCATCATGACAAATCATGAGATGTGGTATTTTGAAGATATAGATTGGGGAATAACTAATCAAGTTATTTTTCAAATGTTAGATCAAATCCAGTGGATAGAATATCCAATGATCATAAAAGAAATGTTCTCAGGGGTAGTAAAAGGCTTCTGATGGAGTAAATATTTTATGTTTTGGATCTCTAGCACAATTGGTTGGCGAGAACGAAAACATTTTTTCCAACCCTACCAAATGTATCTCAAAGAAACTGAAGATTTTGAATTTGAAGATGGTTATTTGGATGAAGATCGTAGGAGAGAGCGATTGGAAACTATTCAAAAACTTCTTTTGACAGAATATTGAATAGACAGTCTAATAACTGTTTCACAAGCAACTTCTAATGTCCATAGCTTAGCAAAATTGCCATTCATGGTCACAGATAGTAGAATACTATTTGTAACTCATTTTTTCATAACATATCAAAGGTCTCCTACACAAATTAATGAGACTCTTGACATGTTATTAAATCTCGAAACGAAAAATAATTTGGATCTTCTGTTGGAACTAGCAACTACGCGGATGATGTATAACAATTTCGGAATGAGCGATATAGCCAGGATCCTGATTCCCCTCCATCAGAGACTGATGAATAGTATCAAAATCTTATCAACAGGATGGAAGCATAGTAGACCTCACTATCAAATGCAGCTGTCTCTTGATCGACCCCAACCTTATCTAGGACATGTGGAGCAGCCTGCATTATTAGGCGGAAAGTGGTCAGGCAAATCCTTTCAGCCGACACTACACGACAAATAAGATCAGCTAAATCTTATCTATATCAGTTTATCTCTTTGAACAATGGAGAGGGTAAACAGTGTATATAATTGTAGAGATTATCAGAAGATAGGGAATGGAAAGTCATTATAATTATTATTGTTTAGACTTTTTGTATTCTATTATATTTATTATGTTAGGACTTTTTTGATTTCTAGCCTTTGGAAAAACAAAAAAGCCTTCAGTCAGGCTTAATGACTTCAGTTTGTATTTACAAAATTTTAGTCTATAAATTGGCATTGATGCCAACATAATAAGACAATGTAAATTCTCTCCATCTTTGTTGCTTAAACTTTTCCTTATTCTGTTTTTGTTGCTTAACTTGATAAAAAATTGTAAAATAGAAATAGTTAAGGAATTCAAAGATATGATTTTATAGTTGATGTGCTTTAAGTAACATACAGTGTTGATTGAGGGGTTGTTCTGTATTTTGAAAAAGGGTATGGCTTCTGTCCAGTTCGGGATCGGACTGGACCGTGCTGTTGGACCCGTGAGGGCTCACCACAGGTCCCGTTTTGATAATCTGAACCGTTCAATATGTAGAAATCGTCGAATATTATATGCCTGTAAAAAATCACGTTGATCGGATATCGATAGCTATGTGATCAAAACAGTTTTTTGTCAACCGTTAATTTGTTCACTGTCTAATTTTTTTAATACGAAACTGATTTGATCATATAGTTATCGATATCCGATCAACGTAATTTTTTTACAGGCATATAGTACTCGACAAGTTCTACACATTAAATGGTTCAGATTATCAAAACGGGACCCATGATAAACTCCCATAAGCCCAACAGCACAGTCTAGTTTGATCCTGGACTGGACAGAAGCCATACCCTTTGAAAAAAGGGTGTTGTCCACATGAAAGTTTCACGGGCTAAGAGCATCTCCAACGATAGTAGGCATTTTACCTATCTAAATATTACTATAAAGTATATATTTTATTTTGCCTATCAACCGTTTTATGTTTTTACTCCAACCATGCTCTTTATTTTAGCTATTAATCTAAATACTATTAATTTTATAGAATGCCACGTCAACAACAAAGATGGAGAGAAATGATCCTAATGATTGAATACATCTTGCCTAGCGTTGAAGGCTAGCTACATGTAGCTAGTGAATATGAGTTGAGCCAAAATGCCTAATCATATGCCTAGTGCGTTGGAATTGAAAAAAGTGAATCACACTAGGCATTTTAACTAACAAGTATTATATGCCTAGTGCATTGGAGATGCTCTAAGGGGGTTAAATCTTGACATTTTAAAAAGCTCGGTACCCACTTGCCTCGTGGGAATGACTTTGAGCTTGCTTATTGAAAATTTTTTTCGAAGTCGGGATTAATTACATTTTGCTCTCATATTGGCTGATTCTTACTTTGTTCTTAAGCTGATTTTTGTTTTTGGTTTTTTTTTAAAACGTTTTTTAATTGCTAAATTTTGTCCCATTATTTGACAAAAAATATCATGTGACAATACCCAATCTAACACGCATCATCAATTGACATTTTAATCCGTAATTGGGCCATATTGAGAAAAATCAAACAGTTTATGAACCAAATTGTAAAAAAAAACTCAGTTTAAGAAACTAAAGTGAAAAAATAATCATATATTAGAGGGCAAAACATAATTTACCCTTTAAATTATAGCTTAAAAAATTTTCAATTTTCAATTTGAGAGAGAGAGAGAGAGAGAGAGAGGTTATATTCATTTTCCAACCATACATCAAATCACAAACCATAAAGAAAAAATCCCAAACATCCCAACTCAATGCCAATCAAGACAAATTCAGTAATTTTCAAAACCACTGAATCATCCAAAAGCACAGATTGTGTCCAAAGTAGATATATAGCACTCACACACTGAACATAGGCACCATAGATATCAAGATTGTATTGCCCTAATCAGAAGAGAAATTGTATTTCCATATTCGGCTTCCGTTTGCTTGCACGGTGCACATCAAACCAGTGCTTGAGCACACCCACAAGGTTCACTGGAAGGTTAAATCAACCGGTTCTCATGATGATGTGCACCCCGCTATCAGTATCAACAATGTCACTAATCTCACCAACCTTCAGTGCATACGTTGCTTCTTCAAAAGGTTTTTGCATCTGACCCCTGCCAAATGGACCTGCATGAACATTTACTATTAGTTACAGTTTGTTTCCACACATGAAAGAACATTCAAATTCAAAATACAATTGCCTTCTGACAAAAAATTCAGGCAATGCCACAATTATCATCACCCTAGTGGGTGGAGAAGATCAGAAAGTGAAGAGACGACACACGACAAGCTTCTCTGGCTTTGGGTTTGGCCCCTCATGTTCTTCTCTTCGCCTCTTCTTCTCTAGTTCTTCGATGGTTTGATGAGTTCTCTAATTTCTCTCTTTGGTTCTCTTCTACTCTTCTTCTTCTTCTCTCTTCTGCCTCTGTTTTTTTCTTTTTTTTTTTCTTTTTCTTCGTTTTTATTTTGCTTTGCTCCCCCCCCCCCCTCTCTCTCTCTCCTGGTTCTTTGCCTCTGTTTATTTTCATGGCACTTTAAATCTTTGGTTAGATATTATGATTTTAGGTTTTTGGTGGATGTGAATGTCATACTTTAAATCTTTTGTTAGTTATTATGATTTTAGTTTCTAGAAAATTGAATGTTATGTTTGAAATGGTAAAACTTGCTTTACGATTTTTTGAATCTATATATATATTTGTTATATTAAAAAGTTTGCCTATTTTATAATTTTGTTTTTACTTCGTGCGCCTCGCTTTGATGAGGCAGGCACGCGCCTTGCGCTTAGGCTATAGGAGACCTTATCGCCTTGGTGAGCCAAGGGCCTTTTAAAACACTGGTTTGGAGGGATGTGGCCTTGGGATTGGATTAATAAGTCAACAAAATACATTGTATCTTACATTCAGCTAAGAAAATTTAAGACTGGGCTAGTAGTCAATCCAGACATGGTATTACTCATATGGGAAACTATTGACTCTGAAGAAGGTGATGGGATACGAAATGGGGGATTATGAAGAGGACTAACAGTAATAGGAGTACTAATCCCATCTACTCCAGTACATCCGAACAAATATGGCCTAAATGTGACAAGGTTTCAGTCCATTCAATGTGTTTTAAGGTTACAAGTACAGTTCTCAAAGAAAAGAATAAAAGTTCTCAAAGGCTGCCAAAGGCAAGGAAGCTGGTTTTAACAACAAATTTGTGGCATTTGGCATATATTCAATCCTTTCAATCGGCTTGCTTAGTGTTGTACACTTAGGCCCCGTTTGGGGACTTACCAAAGCCAAAAAGTTACCTTTTTAGCCCAAAAGCCAACAACTCATACCAAAAAGTCAAAGATTCTCTTTTCTCTCTACTTTTTGCACATCTTTTCGTAATTAGCCAAAAAGTCATCCCAAACATATAAGTTTTTTTTACCTACTTTTTTAACCAAATAGCCAAAAAAGTTACTAAATTAGCCTGTTCCCAAACGAGGCCTTAGTTTGCAAATCATACACTATGTACGCCCCTACCTAGTAATTGACATGTGCAGATACTTTTCCAGTCAGAGAAAAAGATGGCAGAAATGCATACTTCAAGTACCATCAGAGATATACTAAATAAGGTTAGTATTGGCATGCTCTTGAAGAACACATGAAAGAATGGCCCCGCAGTGTGGATATTTTATTGGTGAAAGAGAGAGGTTCTAGAGAAACCAAAAAACAATAGTTTGTGAAAGATGCTAAGTCATGACACCAGCATGCAAAGAATTTGAGGGAAGGCAATTGTTCATCAAATTACACAGATAAAAGAATAAAGAGATATTGAAATATAAAGTGCCTTTCTCTGTTGATCTTTAGCCTTTCCTGAATAGGCAACAATTTTCAAATTTCTTCAGTGATAAAGGATCATTTAATGATATCCTTGAATCATAAATTTTTAATACCCCATGAAAAATAATGCAAGCTAAATTGTTCTAATTCAACCATTAATACATGCCGGATATGATTTAGAAGAATTACGTGTGAATACCTTCATTGCCTAACATGGTATTGATGATATTTGCAAGAAAATGAGACTTTCAGGGGAAATATTTTATTTTCCTTGGTCATGATTCCACTGAACACATTATTGATGGGATAATTTGGAAGAGTAATGATCTACTTTTTGTTCAGTCATTGGTTCCACTGATGTTGAGATTATTTTTATGTCTCTTTGTTTGAGCTGAGAGATCTCTCAAAATTATTACTAAGCATCCACCTCATGAGTTTGTTAATCATGTTGCTTTTCTTGATCTTACTAATTCTCTCCAGGTTGTTCTTGATTACTTTATGCATATAACCAACACCCCTTTGCATCATCCAAATATTTCTTGTTGACATCTAATGGAAACATATGTGCTAATCTTGAAAATGAACCAAGTGCATATTGTACTGATTTACCATTAAATTCAAGTATTGGTCGAATATTTCTTGTGGAGGGTACTTACATGCGCACAATTGTTTTCTAATACATGATCATTCTAAAACAACAGCAAACCCTTATTACTCCATGACATTCATCAAGCAAACAGAACAACATTTAAACAATTTAATTTCTGAGTCATAAAAAAATAAAAATTGTTATTAGGCATTCCAAAAACACTAATCTCCACTAGACCGAGCATAAGACAAACTACAACTTATTTACTTTGTTTTCCATTTAATTTTTGAAAACTCTAATTTCAATTTCCTTGTCTTTTTTCTCGGCAAACAAACAGAAGATATAAAGTATAAAACTGGGGGTAGGAGGAGGATTGACCGAGATCGCCGCCGCGTTTGGCGGAGCTGCAGTCGGAGTAACGAGCGGCGACGTCGTCGAACTTGAGTTTGCCGGAGGCGATGTCGTCGCGGAGGGATTTGAGCTGAGAGACGGCGCTTTCTCTGGTGGTGTTCATGATGACCTGACCTTCTGGATCTTTCCACGAAGCCTTCCTTCGAGAACCTTGGTGCTTGATCAGGATGTGCGAAGCCCTAACTTTGTCGGAAGACATTGTGGTCTTCTTCTTGTGCTTGTCGGTTCGATCTGTTGATGATGAGATCGAAGAAGAGTTCTTCCTCTTTCGATCGGACCCTATTTTTACAGACTAAAGAGAGAGAAGAGAGATAGATGAGCTTGTTCAACTGTTTGGGGATACAGATACAGATACAGATACAGAGCGAGAGAGAGCAAAATATGGGTGCTGTTGAGCTAGGAGTATTTTTGGATTGAGTACAAATTTATGGTGCGGACACGTGTATAACCTATTACGCCTCTTTGGTTAAAGTCTGTTTAGATCTTTCGGCGAATTAATTAGCTCGTCTTTTTAATTTTTTAATTAATTTAATTTGATTAAATTAATTTTGTTTGGAAATGACTTTTAACTTATTAGTTTGAATGTGATGGTTGTGATAGAAAAATAAAATATTTATGATTTAAATATAATATAATATAATATAATAGAATATTTTATTTTATTAATTTCTTTTATTTTTTTGGTGTTTATTTAGATAATAAAATTGTTGGCAAACGGGAACTTAATTACAAGACACTTCAAAATATGATTTTTTTTTTTTAAATATTGTTTATTATAGTGATATGGTTTAGATGTATTTGATGTATTTATTTTTTATTTTGTATTAAATTATAAAATGTATTTGTGTTTTTATACAAGTGGGGGTTTAATATATGGGATATATGGGAAATATTATGGTATATATCGTATAATTACAGAAGAAAATATAATTATTTTATACTTTTTGAGTTTTAATTATGAAAAATAATAAAAAAATTCATAACTAAACATAAAAGAGGTCATAACTAAAATTTTAAATAATGCCATAACTAAAGAAGAAAATTGATAAATTACACTTTGCACCCCTACACTTTGCACAAAATCTCACTTTGATCGCTACACATGAAATCGTGATAGTCAACTCCTACACTTTTGGTCAAATTTCACTTTGGTCCACACACATAAAATTGTGACAGTTAACTTTCTGCACTTATGAAATTATGACAATCAACTCCCTACACTCATAGTCAAGTGTCAATGTCTCATTTTTATTACTCCATCATATAAGTTTTTAACAGAAGTCAGTAAACGGGAACTTAATTACAAGACACTTCAAAATATGATTTTTTTTTTTTAAATATTGTTTATTATAGTGATATGGTTTAGATGTATTTGATGTATTTATTTTTTATTTTGTATTAAATTATAAAATGTATTTGTGTTTTTATACAAGTGGGGGTTTAATATATGGGAAATATTATGGTATATATCGTATAATTACAGAAGAAAATATAATTATTTTATACTTTTTGAGTTTTAATTACAAAAAATAATAAAAAAATTCATAACTAAACATAAAAGAGGTCATAACTAAAATTTTAAATAATGCCATAACTAAATAAGAAAATTGATGAATTACACTTTGCACCCCTACACTTTGCACAAAATCTCACTTTGATCGCTACACATGAAATCGTGATAGTCAACTCCTACACTTTTGGTCAAATTTCACTTTGGTCCACACACATAAAATTGTGACAGTTAACTTTCTGCACTTATGAAATTATGACAATCAACTCCCTACACTCATAGTCAAGTGTCAATGTCTCATTTTTATTACTCCATCATATAAGTTTTTAACAGAAGTCAGTAATGTAACAAGTATATGACCATAAAATGATGACAAAAGAGAAACATCACCAAAATTTCTCGTTTATACACATTTCATCCTAAAATTTATATCAAATTTTGATTGTATTCAGTTAAAACAAAATGTAAATTGTAAACGATTAAGGAGATAAATTAGGATTTTTCAAAAATTAGAATAATAAAACTTTGTTTTTCACAGTAATAGAGTCTTTGGTTTCTCTGCTGTCTTTTTTTTTTTTTTAATTTCAAAAGCTTTACTTTTTTATCTCTTCGTCCTAATTTTTAGCATATGAACGCATACACACACACATATTGTATTATATAACTCTCATATGCTTATCACGTGGGACAAAATATATATTGGTGGAAAATGAGAATGATTTTCCTCTATTGTCCTCATTTTACAGGAGTGTAAAAATGGCATGCGGCCCGGGATGGGTCTGGCTCGTTTGGGCCCGTACCTAAGCCTAGCTCGAGACCCTAAGCTAAGGCCTGGGCCATCATTTTGAAACCCGACCCATGGGGCCAGCTAGTGGCCAGACCTATCGGCCCGCTTAAGGCCTAATAAGGCCCAGTCCGAGGCCTAGTGTCTTTTTTAGTGAAAAATAATAAAATTTTGATAGAAAAAATAAAAAATAAACAAAAAAGTTTGCTCAAGCCTATCCAAGCCCGAGCTTAGGCCCGAGCTTAGGCCCAAGCCCAGGCCCACTGGCCCACCCAAGGCCTGAATACCCTTAGGCTTGGGCCTGGACCTAATTTTTTAGGCCTGTGGCCTGGCCCGGCCCCTCCTGAAATTTGGAGGGAGCCCGTGAGGCCTGACATGGGCCGAGCCGAGCCAAATTTACACCCTTATCATTGAGTAGTTACATGTTTGTTATATGATTGGATTTTGTTAAAAACTTAAATAATGGAGTAACAAAAGGGGCAAATTGACACTTGACCAGAAGTGTAGGAGGTTGATTGTCACGATTTTATGTGTAGGGATTAAAGTGAAATTTGACCAAAAGTGTAAGGGGTTGGCTGTCAACATTTCATCTGTAAGGACCAATGCGGGATTTAGTGCAAAGTGTATGGGTGCAAAGTGTAATTTACCCAAATAAAATTGGTCATAACCAAAAGAAAAAAATGGCATAGTTTATGGTACATATGACATAGAGTGTGTGTAATAAAATTCTCTATAATGAAATTCTCATATATATATATATATATATATGTTTTGTAACAACCCCGATCCATGATTAACACTAATACATGTTTGAGTATGCCAAATAAGTAATTAAGAAGAAATCCTAAGTCAAATATATGTGCATTACATCATTTTGTGTTTATATCTGTTTGACGTAGAAAAATCTGTTCATGTTTTGGTTTCAATTTTGCGAATTGAAGGCCTTATCGGCATCCAATACAGAAATTGATTTGATTTATGTGTTAATTGGAATTTTTAGAACTTTATGGTAGGTTTAATTAAAATGTGATTTGAAACGATTAAATTAGATTGAATTAATGTCCACTTACTTGATCTTAATTAATTACACTTTTGCCAAGCCTATATAAGGCCTACACACCTACTAGAGCCTTTATTTTGACAACATCTTTGAGCCTCCAAGTGATCAAGCGTAAGAGAGAGGGAGAAAGGAGACCAAGGGTGAGAATTGGCATCAACATTTGTCATTGAGAGGGTTTTCCTAGAATTGTAGACATTTGAAGAGAGTTTGGGAGTTTCACCTACAACCTTGTGAATTCAAGTCTCTAGGTAAGGAATCAAACTCTAAATTGTGTAATTGAATTAGATTCTACAAGACTTTGAGTGAATTAGGTGAGCTCATGAAGGAATTACACTAGAATTGAGTAAAATTGGGTCATACCATGCATGCATGTTCATTTCTTTACAAATTGAGCATGATTTCAAAGAATTCTTTCATGCATGTGTTCATCTCACTTATATTTTGGGAATTCACCATGTTTTCTATCAAGTTGCCAAGTTTGATCATGTTTTGAAGAGGTTGAGTTCAAGAGAATGCATGCATGTTGTGTTCTTGAAACCTTCATAAAGTTTATATTGGAATTTTGTACAATTGGCGCACTTTTGGGCCTTGATTTCATGAAATAATCTTTAAACCATGATGTTTTGTAAGTTTCTAAATGTTTTCTAGAATTTTAGCCCAAGAGGATGAGTTTTGGGGTGTTGAATTCATGTTTTGAAAATTGAGAGCAAATTTGGAAAACCCAGAATTCTGCTTCCTCGCTCGAGCGAAGGATTCTACGCTCGAGCGACCACCTTCATTTCACACTTCTGCTTGAGCGACAAAAGGGTTGGCTCGAGCGTAAATTGCATGCTCTCAGGTGTGTGTGCATCTGGAAGCATGCTCGAGCGACGAGAGTTACGCTCGAGCGAAGGATTGTGTCTCACGCTCAAGCGAGCGTCGAGCGAAGATTTCATGCATCCAGAACTTTTTCACATTTTGCAGACCGCTCGAGCGAAGGAGTGTGCGCTCGAGCGACTACTCACTTTTGGCATGCTCGCTCGAGCGAAGGAAGCTACGCTCGAGCGAGACCCCTATTTCAGCAAAAATTTAGCTAAGTGTTTCAAGTACATTTTTGCATCCTTATTCCATCCTAGACATTCCTAGGCCATGATTAAGACTTCATAATGAGGTTAAAGGCTAGAAACACACTAAGAACAAATGAGATAAGTTATGTGCAATTTGAGTGTGTGTTTCAATACATGAATCTGCGATGTTATGTAGGTCATGCGCCTCAAGTTAGCTGAATTGCCCACTTTACCGTCTACCTGGAGCTACCGGTTATCTGTGAGTAATAACTTAGTAAAGCTATATTCAAAGTTATGTATTTCTTGTATACGATATAAGATCTGTTGGAAGAAATGCCATGTTTTATACTATGAATGATTGTCCGACAATAACAAGCCTTTATGATGCTATGCTATGATTCAAGTATGCCGCAAGTGACATTATGCTATGATTTAAGTATGTTGCAAGTGATATATGCCACGATTCAAGTATGTTATAAATGACATGATGTTATGATCCAAGTATGTTATGAATTCCCGGACCGAAGGTTCCTTATGGAACTGACAAGCTATCTGTACCTGGCTGGAGGTTCCTAAATGGAACTGACAAGTTTACAAGTTCCCAGTCTGGAGGTCCTTATAAGGGACTGACAAGTTATCCTTACCCGGCTGGAGGTTCTTTTTATAGAGCTGACAAGTACGATTTGAGACACTCTGTGTGCAATCTATTAGCACTAATGAATGTAAACTTTTATTTCAACCACGAGTATGGGACATCATTCATATACCCTATTTACTTATTATTCGCTGGGCATCCGCTCACTAGTTATTTATATGTATGTAGGTGAGCAGATTCATGATCATTAAGGTAATGCCTGGAGTATTTTTGTGCTAGTCAGCCACCCTTTACGCCTCACGAGGAGGTTCTAGATCATGTCATGTTATGTGGCTATGTTAATATAAATGTATAAGACTGCTCCTTTTGTTTTATGAGCGAGTTCTCTTTTGTATGCACATGATAATGACGTGT